CCCCCCGCCCAACACGACAGGTATTTCGCCCGCGCTCTTAATCCAGGGGCGTCGGGCGTGGAGCCGCCTCCGAGAGAAGTGGCCGCTATCCGTAAGTCTAGGGTGGAGACGTCGAGGTTCTTGGCTGAGCTGCTGGACTTCGCGCAGACGAGGCTACTCGAGTACGCCCGGCTTGTGGCCGAGAGGGGGAGAGACGGCGGCGACTTTGGCGACGGCGGGGGAGGGCTAATGGGCTCGTGTGTGTGGGAGCTGCAGGAGAGGGGGTGAGCGAGTTCATGTCGTGTTTTTTGGTAATGCCACCCTGTTGTCCCGAAATATGGGGACCATTGAGATCATCATGTTTGTACCCGAATCGTCCTTGCATTCCACACAGCTTGATATACATGACAATTACTGAAAGAACACTGCCCGTTCGAGCTAACATCACAGCAGTTGGACGGGATTTTCCTTGTGTGTTTTTGGATGGGGAGGAATGTGTCGTATGTATTCAATTGTTGAACTTGGCAATAGAAGTCAATATGTGGTGCAAGAAAAAATCGCGGCAGTTGACGTAAGATGTCGCACGCCCGCAACCGATTTTCAACATTCGAAAACTGCGCAGCCATTTTTTTTTTGTTGTAGAATATTTAACCCCGAGGTTTTGTCGAAGTCGTGTATAAATTTGGTGTTGTGAAAGCCCGCATCCCAAAATATTTGCACAACCAGGGCGATGGATCTCGGGTTTCGTGGCGACTTAGCAGGGGGTATGCCAAAGGGGGAGCACTTGAGGGACAGCAGTAGTGCCTGTTGTTGTTATTGTTGTTATTGTGGCCACGCGTGTGGGGCGAACGTCGAGTTTGTCGGAAGAGGTATCAGGACCTGCCGACTTATCTCTGGTCGGCTGCCGCAACAAACGTCTTGTTTGGACGACACGTAGCGCTCCTATCCGATGCTCTCAACATCTGCACCAGCACCAGCACTAGCACCACAAACACAAGAACAACATTTACCCCCAAAAAACAACGCTGTTCTCGCTTGGCAGGTTCCTCCCTTCTCAAAGGAACTGGATTCCTTTAGATGACGAAGCAGCGGCAGCGGTAACGGCAGTGCGTGAGAGCAAAGAGGATTTGGGGAGGACGGGACGGATGCGGGTAGGAGGCGGTGTGGTCGACGTGCAGGTGCGATGTGCTTCTTCCACCTCTCGGATCCGGCGCTTCTTGTCTCTCCCCCGCGGAGTGGTGCCGCCGCCTGCCTGGCTTGCGAGTGCCCATTTCTCTTGCAGGAGGCAGTCGCTGGCTGTCTTGTGTATTGTTTTATGTTCGTGCCGCTTCGTCCCAATTTTGTCCTCACCATGCAACAGCTTTTTGTGGCTACCATCACTCCGTTGCTCTATGTCACGCTTTTTCAGGGTCATCAATCCCTCCCCTTTGTCAAAATCTTTGTGAGAGTCATCATCGTCATGCTGTGGTGGGAATTTTCCCTCGGTTCCTCCTCGCCAAGCGTTTTTGAGGCGCTCCATTACTCGTTATCACGCTTTTGAGCGTTATCACTCCGTTCCTCGTCGTCATGCTTTCGTGGGAATTTTCACTCCGTTCCTCATCGCCATGCTCTTGAGGATTATCACTCCGTTTATCACCGTCGGGCTATTGAGGGTTATGTATCACTCCGTTCCTCATCGCCGTGCTCCTGAGGGTCATCGCTCCCCAATCTTGATTGTTATGCGTTTTGAGGGTCATCATTCCTTTTCTCGTTGGTTGGGTGCACTGTTCTGTATTCTCTTGGCGATTGATGCCCCTCCCTCCAGGCCGTGTCCGGGGAGTACTTCTGGGACTGCGACGAGGAGGGCGAGGTGTTCATCCCGCCGCAAGACTCCGGGGTGAAGCGCTTTAACCCGATGAAGGTTTGTGGGTTGGTATGTACGAGAGCTCCGACAGTTGTCTTCACCACCGGGAAACACCACGGCCTGTGAGGAGCTTCTAATCCTGTGACGCAAACAGCGGGCTTGCCCCCCCCCCNCCCCCTGCTCCTGCTTCGTTTTCTCGAGAGCGCGTGGTTAACGGTCTTAACGGCTTCGGCATGCAAAACATGAGCAAACCCGGTCAACGACCACGACCACCTTCTGGTTCAGGCTTGTGGAACGCAGCCTGGGCCGGCGAAAACACGGCATATCGCATCGTCCGGCATGCGAAGTTTTACGGTCTAACAACCACGGCATGTGTTGTCATGGGAACCCCCCCCCCCCTCGGTGTTTGCCATCGGGGTTGGGTTTTCGTCGCTTGGCAATGACGTTATAAAACAAGCCCCCCCCTCGGTGTTTGCCATCGGGATTGGGTTCTCGTCGCATGGCAAGGACGTTGTAAAACAAGCCACTTGACTTCGTGAACTCGGCAACTAGATTACCGCTTCTTTTTTGACCTCTTTTTTTTTTTGGCGGTAACCATAATGGTGGCCGAGTAGATAATGTTGTGCGGGGTCGAGAACCCTCACTCCGCGCAAAGGGGATGGTCGCACCACTTTGTGTTCAAATGGCCAAGCACCCTCGAGGCAGTTACACGGTGCTTACAACTGTCTCTGGAAGTGAAAGCACCAGAAGTCATACGCAGCTGCCATCCGTACGCAAGGAAGTGAGCACAATATGCCGAAAACCCTTCGCAGGATGCAGCGCACCCTTCTTGC